CACAATCCACTATATAAGCTCAATATGACACCAGAGACATGTCAGTGAGTGGGCCATGAATTGTATATAAAATCATAAGCTCAACATGACATGGGAGGCATGTCAGTGGCCTATGAATAGTATATGAAATCATTAGCTTAACATGACATAGCATGACACAAATACAACATGACTCGACTCTCTCTTAGCCCGTTTTAGGCATGGTAGGACCGTGCCGAATTCTAACAGGATCTTTTACACAGTTCCTGAAATCAGATGAATAGACTAGAGTGATTAGGATAACAGATGATAATATTGATATCCAATTAAAAAACCCCACTCCCGCTTTCCAGTCTCCACAGATATCAGCAGAACACATCCAACCTCATAATAATACTCCTTCATTCTTTCATTTTTTGGCTCCAAAATTCCATCTCTTTCACTCTCTCTCCTCTTCAATAATGGTGTCACTCTCCCTCCTCTCAACACTTCCTTCTCTCTCTTCTCCCGCCATTTCTACTACTTCTACCAGATATTCTCCTCTTCCTGTATGATTCCTAATTTCTCACATTTTCGTTCAAATTTACAACAAATTATATGATTAACTCTATTTTAGCTCAATTTCAGGGTACAATTCGCTGTAGTAGTAATACATTGGAGGTAGATGATGATCGATTTCGAAGAAGGGATATCCTCAATTGCCTTGCATTGTCAGCTGGAATTGTGAGCTATTTCTCTTTATTTTTCTCATGTATTTCTTCTCATTTCACAAGTTTAGGGTTTTGAGGAAATTTACAAAATTTCTGAAGTGTTTCCAATTTATGATAAGTTGAATGGTGTAATGTGTACAATTATGCTCTAATTTTGACTCACTTTGTTTTGTATCTTTGGTTGATTTTGACATTATATGCCTTTCTTAGCCATGTTTTATAGATAAAAAATAAAATTGTATATGCAAATTTCATCAGTAGAGTTGTGTTCTGCTCAACCAATTATGAATTGACATCAATTGAACTTATCATAGTTGTGAATTGAACTCATTGTAGTGGTGCATTGAACTGTATTAGAAATTATGATAGTTTATTGGAACTTATTTGAACTTTTAAATTCTGCAGTAAGTTAGAATTAGTTGAACAAAACACACTTTAAGTCGGCGTTTGATTACTTCTCTTCCCTGAGCCAAAGTAAGGCTACTCTATGAATCAATTTTTTTTTTTGGGATGATTATAGAGGTTAGTCATTATAGATGCTGCAGTTGTAAGAACAAGAAATTCCGCTAGGCAGAGGCGGGGCTATAAATGCTAACACTGAAAGTGGCCTAGTGCAATTTTATTAAATTGAGACCTAAAATCAATTTTTTGAGGAAAAGCATGTTACTAAATTAAAAAAGCCAAGGCCCTTTTATAGAAGTTTCACTTAAGGGCCTTGTGCGGTTGACCACCCCGCACATGCTCAGAACCACCCTTGCCGCTAGGAGATACTTGATTAAGTGCAGATGGTGGATTATGTCATGCACTCATGTTTTGGTTGTTTGGTTTGGAGTTTTAATTTCTCGCGTCCTCGGTGCAAGCGTTGTATATTTTCTACAATTAGCTCAACTTTGCTTCCCAAAATTTCAAGTTACGTTATGTTTGAAGAGCTTAACTCCTGAACAATAGTGTTAGGTTACTGTAAAACATATAGTACCCCAAATTATGCCTTTTTGTAATATGATAATGGTTTTTTACCAGTCTTAATGGTTTCTCAGGAAGTGATATCAAGTTCAGGAACCTTTTCTGGAGATGCCTATGCTGCTGATTTAATTCAGAGAAGGCAGCGCTCTGAGTTTCTTTGTAAGTCTCTCAGATGCTTGGCAATTTCTGTTTTAGATAGTTTACTTAAGCTTAATGTCCTTACATTATTACATTGCAGCTGATATTAAAGGGACTCTCTATACAGCTATAAAGGTATGCTACTCGTTTATAGATGTGTTGTACTTATAATATCTGAACTGCTTGTTAGATTAGTATTTTTGAATCTTTTGACAGTATGTCTTTTGTTAGGCTAATACATCGTTCTTGTTAATTCTTCAGAAAAATCCTGACCTTATTCCGTCTATCCTAACTCTATCTCTAAATGATGTGATGACTTATGACAAGGTGAAGTCATTGATACTTTTATATTAAGTTTCTTTATACAATTCTTCTTTATACATTACTTGTGGCAAAGTAATAGATTTATGAAAAGCTGATTCCTTATTGTTAACTTTGTAGGCCTCAAAATCTGGAGGTCCAAACGGTTCAATACGATTCAGGTATTTCTGGAAAAATTGATTACCTCAGTGAAATGGTGTGAATTGTTTAGTGAGGCTAGAATAATGTCAACCCAGTTCTCTTGCATCCAACTATGGGATAATGTTTTGTGTCTGCCACTTGCCTATCTCAGAAGCTTGATATATAGGTGTTAATCCATCAATGTTATGGCTGTAGCAGTCTGTTTTCCTGCAGATTTTGAGACTAGGGTTGATTTCTTGTTTGAACTTCTTGCTTGAAGCTCAGAGATAAGCAGACCTGAAAACAAAGGCCTTTCTTCTGCTTTAAGTCTGTTGGAGGATGCAAAAAAGGAAATTGATTCATACTCTAAGGGTGGACCTATCGCTTATGCGGACCTTATCCAATGTGCAGGTTAGACAACTAGTGACTATTGCTATATTCTTTTTCTAGCATGTGATGTTTCTTCATTAAATTCCATCACATAAGCATGTTTTTCCTTAAATTTGGTTTCCAACTGGCACTCTGGAAGTTGTAAGCAACATACTGTGTCTGTGGATTATTCTAATTAAGTAGTCTTACTACGCACTGGTTTTTGAGAAAATATTTTTGAATAGAGATGCTGTGGAGGCGTGGATTTCAGTGTAGCATTCCACTATACTAATAAAGGTGGAAAATTATTGTGATCGCATAACGTATACAAATGTTTATATCATTTTTATTGGGTGTGAGGAGTAAATGCAGAACTAGAATGAATAAAGTATATTAGTCTCAATCCTAGCCAATGGAAACTATAATGTAATGTAGTTGAACTTATGGATACCCTGAGCATGTTCTTTTCATCAATGCAGCACAATCAGCTTTAAAGAATACTTTCTTGGCTTCTGCTATCCGTAAATGTGGTGGGAATGAAGAGAAGGGATCTTTATTATATACGGCATATGGCTCTAATGGACAGGTGTGTTCCCTATACTTTGGACATTCTGGACAACCTTAACAGACAGGCTTTTCTGGATATTTAAAGAGAAAAATCATGTGATGTTGACTGATGAGTTTTCACTTGCGCTTTTGCATGTAATGCTCAAATTTATGCGATAGTGGGGCCTGTTTGATAGGACATTTGGGAGGACAGACGCTCAAGAACCAGATCCAGAAGGCAGAGTTCCCCAATGGGATAAAGCAAGTGTGCAGGAAATGAAGGATAAATTCAAAGCCGTGGGATTCGGCCCACGTCAGGTAATTCCACCCCGCCCCCACCCCCACCATGTTGTTAATGCTTTTCTTTTACCCTTGAAAGATCTTTTAGTGCATTTAAGTAATTGTTGTGTTGGGATAGTTGCTGCTACATTTCCTTGTGCCATTTAACCCTTGGGATTTCTTCGTACAAATTTCTTTGTTTGTGATGTGGAGTTGTGGACTGATACTTGAGCACCAAATAATGCTGTCATGCTAGTTTTGTAGGTCCCTTAGAGATTTAAAAGGAGCTAATTTCACACATTTGTTTGAAGATTGTCCAGTAAATGACCATTACAATGAGCTTTCTTTTAAGAGACACGGGGTAGTAAAAAATGCAACTATTAGGTATGAAATGGTAGCTGTAACAAAGCTTACATTTTAAATTCTCATAAACAGGTTAAACTTACTGTTCTTCTTGGTTCGTGTGCGTTGACAAATGATGATATTGGTTACCGTTACTTGTTATGCGAGCAATTCAAGACTGCATCTCTGTTGCTGTGATTTGAATTTAAACTTGCATGATGTAGAGGTCTTTTTCATCATGATTTATTTAATCATATCTTTAAAAAATGTAAATAATACAATTTTTATTAAGCTTTACTTTGTGAGTTATGTAAAACAAATTTGTAATGCCTAAATGGGGTAAAATGTCACCCTGATCAATATTCTCTTTACCTTGTTTTGCTCATCAGCTGGCTGTGATGTCTGCATTTCTTGGTCCTGATCAAAAAGCAACTGAGGACTTATTGGCTACAGATCCTGAAGTTGCTCCATGGGTTCAGAAATACCAGCGCAGTCGAGAAACAGTTTCTCAGACTGACTATGAGGTGAGTGAAAGGTCTTCAAGTTAGATTAAATATGCCCCCCCCCACCACCACCACCACACACACACACACACACACACACATCCTTCATTTTATCTGTTTATTTGGAAGATGGACTTTGCTTCCTCTTTTGAACTTAGAACTAGATTCTTCCAATTTCATATGAATTCTAATCCTTGCTTTTTTATTAGGTTGACCTGATAACTACTCTTACAAAGTTAAGCTGCCTGGGACAGCAAATTAATTATGAAGCATATACATATCCTGTGAAAAAGATTGAGTTGAGCAAGCTGAAGTTATAATACCAATGCACCATGAAGTGCCATTGCGAGATGTTTAACTGATCTGAGTCTCATTAAGGGGAGAGATGAAGTCCAATGTGATGAATTCACCAACAAACTATCTGTAAGTTCTTGTTTAAAGATCCTTGCCATGACTCTGGACGTTTGTATATCTGTGCTAAATCATCTAAACTTGCAAATAACTTTGTTTTCTCCCCCATTTTCTTGAAAATGTCATCTGATTCTCATCTTTGACAGCTACTACTTTCTCTTGTACACATTAATGATATTCATTTGTGATTAATAAAACATAATTTTAGAAGGTTCTAATATACAGTATATATCAATGCACAGTCCAAACAAGATTGTGACCTGTAAAATGCCAAATTACACCTTCTCAAAGTCACTGAAGTTGCCCTTTTTCATAAATGTTGTATCCAATTCCATTTTAGGAAAATTGCCCTAACACTCAGTATTTGTATGTCATTATAGTGTACTACTACTATTAGTCTATTACACCAAAATCTGGGATTATATTTGTATGTGTTTGGTGGAGTCCCAACCTAGCTCTAGCAATTCTTTGCATTGTCAAGGATATATTCAAGAATGATAGTGGAGGTACTAAAAGGAATTTTCATTGCAAAACAGCCACAAGTTTTGTACTTGTGGTAATTGTTATATGAATAATAACACATGTACCTCTAAAAGCATATGTATCTCCATTGAATTTGTGTATCAGAGCATTGTGAGATTACAATTGATAACTCAACATACTAGCTAAAAAACAGGGGAAAATTTTGCAAAGCTTAAAACTTAGTTTTATAGATCTTTACTAGGGGTAACAGGTGCAGAGCAAGCAGGTGGGATCTGCTTTCCTGTTATAACAGGCCTGACATTTTTACACATAGAGACTGCAGGACCGTCTTCGCCTGTGTATGTCAGGTCAATGTCAGTGAGCTGTATCTTCTCACAAGGCACGCCGCTGCTGCAAACCACCTTCACTGCTTCCTTGCTACCTGATGTGCCCCTCACATTCTTGAATCTAATATCACTAAGCTTCACTTTGGATGGTGTCTGCAAACAAAAGCATGAATAGAATAATCAGTAGACTTTTATTATAGTTGATTCACTAAGCTGGTGGGGGGGGGGGGGGGGGGGGGGGGGGGAGGGGGTGGTGTTGCAGGGGATATATTTTATACAGGGGTGTCTTTGGACTTCACATAATTATGGGGTGTCTTAGATATTATAATAGCTAAATTATTCAGAGCTTAATAGTAGCAGATGATTTCTTACCTTTTGTACGCAGTGATTATAGGGGCAATATTCTTGATCAACAATAATAGGATTCAAGACGTTTTCAACAGTGATGTCCTCAAAATGCAAGCCAGTGACCACACCTTGGTAAGAGTTGTGCCATGTTTTAACCCTAACACCGTTATCTGTGTTCTTGATTGTGCATCCCTTCACGGTGATATCTTGCACCGGTTCCTCATTAGGGTACCTACCTAGACTTCCTACACTAATACCATGGCCAGGTCCACAAGTGACCTGCTCAATATGAACATTTTTAGCACCGTCCCCAATTGAAACACAGTCATCTCCTGTTCCAATTTGTGCAAGCGTTATATTCACTCCATCAGAACGTCCTACGTGAATTCCATCAGTGTTTAAACTAGTTTTTGGGGCAGAAATAGTAATGTCATGCATTATTAGTTGCTTGCATCTCAAGATTGCCATGTGGAATAGTTTGCTATCCAGAGAAGTTATGCCATGAATCACTGAATTCGTCAAAGAATTGAACCTAAAGTTCTGCAATTTATGAGGAAAAAAGAAAAATGAAAAAAAAGAACCTACCATTAAATTATCCTAATATTTTGATAGGGATGAAACTAGACCAATTTGGTTGGTGTGATATTTAAGGATGCTTAACTTACATAAGGAAGGCTATTGCATTTGCCAGTTTTAGAGCAGTCATTCATTGTCCAAGCCATATATCCTTGACCATCGAACACGCCTGCTCCTTTAGGAGCTGTGATAGTCAAACCATCAACATTTTGAACCTTAACCCATGTATCTTCACCCTTAAATAGAGCCGGGTCAGCAGGAGCCCTGAAGTTCCCTAAAATTTCTAATGTGACTCTAGACTTGCATGGACCTTGAAGCTTGATTGCGTTTAGCACATATGATCCTTTCGGAACCAACACTGTGGTAGGAGTTGTCGCTGCACAAGCTGCTTTCCAAGCACTCATTAAGGCCTAACAACCAAGATATGTGTTAAAAAAAAGACAGATCTATTCTCTAAAAAACTGACATTAAAGAAGTTTGAAGTTTATTATGCTCTTATGTATATTTCAAGCATGTGTAATCATTCACCTGTGTGGCATCGCCGTCAGTCTTTGCTCCATGATTCCATATGTCAAATACAACACCACCACTAGCGGCCGTATGTCCCTTAATCGCTACGGTGCACCATTGAAATAGAATGAAGAACAATGGAAGTTTTGCTGTGGGTGCCATTTTTCTTTTTTTTATTTGGTATATGTTTGAAATATTTTTACTCTTTGTCCCTGCTTGGTTATGTCTTTATATACTGTTTTTCTAGGCATAAAAATACCTATATATCTATTATTAGCACCCTTTCTAATTGAAATGAGCTTTAATTTTTAAAGGTTTTGTTCATACCTTTGTTACCTTCAGTTGAATCATGTTCTTTTCGCTCTCTACCATTAGTCTTTCAGGAATCTAAATTTTCTTTCCCGCATAATTAACTAAGAAAAGACAAGAAACCATCTATTAAAAAAAAAAAAAAAAAAAAAAAAACCAAATAACTGCAATTTTCATTTAGTCTTTTGGTTATATAAATGCTGTTTAACAGAATGCTCCTCTGCTTACTATCTATAGGCAGGTTCTATCTACCTACCTTTTGTGCTTGTGATTTTTTTCCCTATTGCTTTTGAACTTCTTTTTGAGTAGAGTTGATACTGATGATGCTCTTGGACTCGGATAAACGGATCGTATTTGTGTTTGATTATGATTGATAGATTCGGGTTATTCAAAATGTTTATTTTTCTAATTTTCTCATATTAAACTTTACCCTTACCAAGTAATTTGATGTCTGAAAATAAACTTCACAATAATATTCACAAGTAAGGTAAATTATTTTAGTCAATAACCACCCTTTATTAAGAAATTGTAAATGAACCACCCTCCAATAATATTCCGTCAATTCAAACCCACTACTCCTTAATAGTAGTAGTGGTGTAGTACCCATCCAAACCATTGGTTTGTTTTAATAAATTAACCGTAAAATCTATAATTATTGATTAACATATGTCTTAATTACATCACATAATCTTAGACTTTGAATAGCTAACTGATGATATGACTCATATATATGTATGAGAACAATTCAGTAGCTTGCCTGGATTTGGAATAAAATGAAGGTTCCCATTAGTCTAATTTGGGTCGATCTATCTGCGATTCAGCACTGATATGGGTGCTGTGGATTAAATAATTTTGATCTTGTTGACGAACATCTCATGGGGAATTCATTGATAATTTATGTAAGGATCATCGATGGAAGCCGAGTATCAAGTGGTAAGAAAATAGAAATGCGTTCAAGGAGGAGCAACGTTAACTTCTGATGTTTGTTTACACTTCATAAAAGCAAATTACTTGCTCTAGTTTTTGTGGTATTAGGACTGTTTTCGATAAAATTCTTGGTTTGGCTATTACATCTCCAAAACACTATACTAGACGAAACAGATGTTAGAGAAGAGGAACATGAAATCATAATTTTGCTTGCTTTTCATTTACATTAAGTACACGAATAATTGTAAAATCATACCAATTATTCGACAGTCTATGCGCTCTAGACTATTTATTAACTTATACTAAGGGGTAAAAAAACTGAAGACTACAAAATTTTGGTATGTAACAATAGAAGCCCTGCTGTCCTGGAACTTAAAGTTCAACAACAGGGGTTGCAGGGGCATCGCAAGCAGGTGGATTCTGCGTTCCAACAAGAGAAGGCTTAACGAATTTACACATTGAAACCGCTGGACCATCGTTGCCAGTGTACTTAAGATCTATGTCTGCGAGCTCCACCTTGTCACACGGAAATCCACAGTATCGGTAGGAAGCAAGTTAGTTGAGTAAAAAAGCCGGATTTTGAGGCTTTTCTTTCTATTTCTCTGCTGCAAATCAGCTTCACAGCTTCCTTGCCACTTGAAGCTCCCTTAACGTTCATAAACTTAATGTCGGAAAGCTTAACTTTTGATGGCGTCTGTGAAGATAAAATACTATACATTGTTAGAAGACAAGAAAGAAAAAAAGGGGGTAAAATACAGGCATCATTCAAAATTTAGGCTTACCTTTTCTTTGCAGTGATTGTAGGGGCAGTACTCTTGATCAACAATGACAGGGTTTCTAACATTTTCGACAGTGATATTCTCAAAATGCAACCCATCAACGGAGGATGGATATGAGTTGTGCCATGTTTTAACACGGACACCATTGTCGGTATCCTTGATGGTACAATGCCTTACAGTGATGTTTGACACTGGCTCCTCATTAGGGTATCTGCCAAGACTTCCAACACTAATACCGTGGCCAGGTCCACAGGTAACATTTTCTACAATGACGCTCTTAGCACCATCACCAAAGGACACACAGTCATCTCCAGTGCCAATGGTGAATCCTCTTATGATAATAAATTCAGAACGTCCGATGTGAATGCCATCTGTGTTAGGGCTGTCTGCTGGGGCTGTAATAGTTATGTCTGTCATTTCCAGGTGCTTACACCCTAGGAGGGCAAAGTGAAATATCTTGCTGTCTTTTGATGTTAAGCCGATAACCTTTGAATTCGTTACAAAATTGAACCTAAAGTTCTGCAATGCACAACACAAATCATTAGGATTTTTATCTTTTATAAACAATCTTGGTATGAAAAATTGTAGAGACTTGATCTATAGAGGAGTTGACAGTTGACTTTTTGGGGGTTATTTTAGCAAATAGTCTTGGGTGTGACCGATATTATACAATGTATGATGAGACAGATACCAAATACAAACTATCTCTTAACAATATAACAAGTCATATCAGAACTAACCAGATTAGATGACTGTAACGAAAATATATCAATTTAGCACAATCATTCTGCTTCCAAGCGGATTTTCCTTGACCATCAAAAGTTCCTCCACCAGAAACACCGTTGACAGTAAGACCCTTAATGTTTTCAAATTTAACCCAAGTGTCTTGGCCTTTAAACTGGGCTACTTGTGGTGGTGCTTTGAAGTTTCCTCGAACTTCGATAGTAATCGGACTCTTGCAAGGACCCATAAGCTTCACCGCGTTCAACAAGAAGGTTCCTTTAGGTACTACAATCGTCGTTGGTGCTTTTGCTGCACATGCCTCTTTCCAGGCACCCAATAAGCCCTGAATCAATTTTGCATACACTTTAGTAAGAAAAATTTGCAACATTTTAAGAAAACAACATCATCATAGAATAATACAAATATTAATCTAAGAAAGAAAAATGTACCTGTGTTGCATCTGCATTAGGCTTGGCACCAAATTTTGTTATGTCGACCGTCTTTTGGGATCTTACGACTATAACAAATGTATAAAACAAGCTAATCAACAATGGGAGATTGGGAGTTTTCATTTTTTTTTTTTTTTTTTTTTTTTTTGGGGTTTTTTTTTTAAAAAAAATATTATTGTTTTTTTTTTTTATTATTTTTTTTTATTATTATGATCTTAGACATAAACCTGCTGCTTATATAGTAACAGCTGAAATCCTCCACCACTCATACGTTAATTCAGTTTCAAGCAAGTTGCTAAATTTAAGCTAAGTTTGTGGTTATTGCAAATTAAAATTAATTTAAGATCTACTTCATTTCACCTTGATACACTCCTATCCATTGATAAACTAAACGCGTGTTACATTAGTTTGTTTTTTTTTCTGTTGGAACAACATTTCTGTAACAAATTAAATTTGCTTATAAGATTTCATTAGGTTTTACGTCATTTGGAGTTGTGTAGTTTAACAACGCGGTAATAAGTTGAGGATTATCCGGTTACTCCTTTCATCCTACAAAAAGCTTTGTCATTTCTTTTGGACAGATGTGCCAACACGTAACTTTAACCATTTATATTTTAAACAATTCATTAGCAAAATTACATTATATTTAACAATATACATTGAATCTGAATCAACAACATTTTCATAATTACAGTTGTTGCTTATATGAAATGAATAGTGAAAAAGTTAAAAAGAGAATTTTGGTGGAGAAAGTGATCAAATAATTACAACGTACATAATCAAAGAAATTAAGTGTTAAATAAAGGTCAAAGACTTAAAAATGGTTGTAGCACATTCGCACTTGCTTATATAATTGTTCGCACTATAAATACTCTAGAAGTGCTTGAAAAAATGATAAATACATGTTTAATTAGCATCTACGAGTGATCAATTGATTATCAGTAGTTAACACACTTAAGTTGTATAGAAATATAATAAAGTTTTTACTTTTTACAGTAAAGTGAACTTTGATCAAACTTCAGCTCTCACGAATTTTTGGTCAAGCATTTGTGGGTTAGCCTCTAAAAAGTGAGGGTGAAGGATAAGATCATAAGAGGGGTCCTCACTCTCAACGACCGCAATTGAAAGGATTTGACCTTGTGATCTCAGCTCACGGTTACAAGGTGAATTACTCGACAACTACACCAACCCTTTTGCTTGGTATAAAGTATAGCTAAAGCGATGATGATGTTTTTGATATCAAGAGACTACTCCCTTAAAAACATGTCTTTTCAAGTATGTTTCCATCCTCTAAGTAGAGAGCACTTTAGTCTTTATGGTGATAAACCATAAAAATAGGTCATATTTGCTTCTCTTTTAAGTTATTATTATCAAGTATTATAAGAGAATTATAATAAACACATTCACAAGTCATTGCTAGACAAGCTTTATATGAAAAATAATCAAGTCGTGGTTTTTGTATCTCACCATATAGATCTATTGTTTAATACTTCCTTCATCTGCTTTTACTTGCAAGTTTGCAACAATTTCACTTAGGCGAACCTAACAAATTTCAATATACATTTCTTTAACCATAAATCATCAAAGTTAGTCAAAGTACAACGGGTGAATATTGCATACATAATTTTCTTGTTAAGGAGTGATTCAGATGGACCATAAAGTGCTAAAAATAAAATGGAAGCAATCGACGTTTCTGCCCTTCCTGGTTCCATGTTGCGCAGTAATATTTGTCACCAATTTTTTTAATGTTGTAATTTTAGAGAAATAATGGCAAAAGTAGATTGAATAGATTCTAAGGAAATCAAAGAGTTAATAAGAATTTCCGCATAAGTAAAACTTGGCCTTGTATTATTAAATGAGTAGTAAAATTTTTAATATCAAGTCTCCATGAAATCATAAACAAACTGTTACAACCTATTCTCAACTCTAATTTGCATTGAAGACCTTAGGATTTAGGAAGATGTAAAAATCGCCAAATATACATCTCGAATCCAAAAATGAGGGTAGAGCTTAGCTTATAACAGCTACTCCTATCGGAATTTATAAGTTATCCGCTCAATCCCGCCCATAAAGGGCCTTAGTGGCTCGGGAATGATAACCGAGCCATCCTCTTGTTGGTAATTCTCCAGCAAACAAACAATCATACGTGGTACTGCACATGCTGTAGCATTGAGTGTGTGCACAAACTGTGTTGGAGTATTCTTAGCCTTCTTCTGATTTGTAGATGGCAATTCTGGGCGGTATCGGATCCCTAACCGACGACTTTGATAGTCGGTACAATTTGAAGCACTTGATATCTACACGTGAAATTTAAGAATCCAAGCTTTATATAAAGAACCAAGATTCTAATAAGATGGTGAATCAACCAGCGTCTTTATATTTTGGAGAGGTGCATATACACATATACCCCCTATCTTAGAGATAATACAGACATGGAAGGGGTGATGAGAAACATAGAGCCCAAGACTGGGTGTACGGAAGAAAGGTCAGAGCGACATAGGTTCATAGCCAAGCTATACCACATGAACCAACAGTTCTAATTAAAAAAATATAAACAATGTAATGCAAAAGATAGTGGTAGACATTTAGGATTTGTAGTTCACCGAAGAAACAGAGATTCCACTGGTCAAGACTCAAGAGCATATTGTTCCCCAAATTGGTTATGTGTTAGAATCTTAAATGGTCTTTTACTAGAACCCAAAATTAAACAAGGCACCATATTACACTTGAGTACAGCTTTTTATGGAAGATAACAATCTAGACTCTAGAGGTGGCAAATTGGTTCTTCTGATTGGGGCCGGACCAGGTTCATTGAATAGGCATCATATTCAGGCAGTGAATTGTTTAGGTTTTAAGTCATATTCAGATGAATCAGATCTATCATCAATTTGCTTTGCATAAAAAGTCAAATCAATTTTGATCAATAAATTTGGTCAGGATGGGTAGATGTCTCGTTGCCTAATTTTGGGGTTCAGGTTTGGACCAACCTAGTTTGCGTCAGGTCAGATCGTTCCGGTCAAGTCACTTTTGCTAATTCTAGATAACACTAATGTACTGATTGTCCAAAGCTCAAAATTGCTACACATTTAACCTGTATTCACAAAGATCGAGAAAATCAACATACCTCACCATAACGTTCCAATCCTGGCATCCATGCTTCCACATCAAACTTACGGAATGCAGGAGCACCTAGATCTGCAGATGACATATCCAGGGTTCTGCCACAGCCAAAAGTAGATAACAACATTATTTGAGGAGAAGAGAGATAAAGCCGCAACATAATTAGACAAGAACAGGGTTCTTCCTACTTGAAGTGAAATCCCAGGGCTGTAAAGAGGTCTTCTTCAATTCCAATAAGCTCTTCAAGATATGTATCACTGTCCTCAGGTCTACACAGGACGAACATCTCAACCTTGCTAAACTGATGCACTCGGTAAAGCCCTCTGTATCAATTTACAACAAACTTGTCAGATGACACAAGAAATTCAAAAGGCCTATAATGCATGGAAGAAACCAACCAGGAACATACAAGAAACAATTTATTTGTGAGATGACAATATAATAGGGAAAATATATCCTTCGAGAATCTGAAAAAAAAAATAGGAAAATGAACAGTGAAGTTTTGCGAAAACTATTGAGCAGAAAACCAGCAATGTCAACCAAACCAGAATCTCAAACTACTGGATTTCAAAAATGGAGATGTAGTAGTCACAATAAGGGGATTTAAAAGTCAAAATAGACAGAAGCAGCAGAAAAGGAAGATATGACTTTTTCAGATTATTTACCTTGTTGCGGCGCCAGCAGCCCCTGCCTCAGTCCGGAAGCAATGTGAATAAGCAACATACTTCAAAGGTAATGATGATTCAGAAAGAATAGAATCCATATGAAGTCCTCCTAATGGTATTTCAGCGGTGCCTACAAGGCACTGATCAGAACCTGAAATAGTATAAACCTGTGGAGGTTTCAAAAAAGCCAGACATAAGCTTCATCGTTCAAAGCTTTACAACTACGTGAGCAATCACTGGATATGCCTACAAGGAAAAAATTAAGAGCAATAAAGCACAACAAGACTACTATATGACAAGCCTGACAGATTAGGCACTCCAGAAATCATGAATCAAAATATCATACTGTTGAGGAAATATATGCAAAACATAATCAACCATTACAAAAGAAAATCATTGACAAACCTGTGTATTCTCTGCCCGAGGTTGAAACCCACATTTTTCTACAACAGATGCCCTCACAATTTCTGGGGTTGTCAAAGGAGTAAAACCTCTTTTTGTGACCTCTGAAAGAGTCCAGTTAACGAGGGCCATTTCTAGCATGACTGCTTCATTTTTTAGGTAGTAAAATTTGGAGCCACTAACCTAAAATGGGCAAACAGAAGAATTGAAAAGTAAATATATTGAGACATTATTAGGGATTTGCACACCTACAAATATCCATTGCCATACATTAAAATTGTAACTAAGACTTATAAACAATAATTAAGCAACAATACCGATACCAAGTAAAAAATTGTCTTCAAGAGAATGAAACATTAAAAAAAAAAAAAAATTCTAAGTGAATACAGAAAGGGAAACAGAAATCCATTAATATCCCTTACAATTAACATTCCAATTCTCAAATGCACCCACAATCCGGAAAAAAAGTACTTATTGCCACACACACCAAAAAAAAAAAAAAAAAAAAAAAAAAAAAAAAAAAAAAAAAAAAAAGCAACATGTAGTTTAGTATGTGTTGAGAAGAAATATAAGCCAGTGTTCTGCTACAATGACAGCTCTCAAGAGAAGGAGATCACATGACATTTATACAGGGCTATTCAACACAATAATGAAAAGATACTTCTAGCCTCACTTAAACAGGAAATTACCTCAGCTGCAGCATCAAAATCAAAAAGATCAAGCTCTTTGCCTAGTGCAAGGTGATCCTTGACAGGAAAGCCAAATTCACGTGGTCTGCCAACCTACAGAGACAAAAATTAGATATATGTACAAAAAAGGATGGAAAACAACCTTCATTTTCTTAACATCCAACCTCAAGTTATTGTGAAAGAAAATAAGACATAAACTAAGAATCGTATGAACAAAGTTACCATTTTTCTCAACACTGAACAATCTTCATCTCCTATTGGCACA